CATAAGTTAAGTACTAGGTTAAAGGTTATTTTTTCCGTAATAATGGAATTGAATAAATATTCTTTTGAAACTTGTATATACTAGATTATTTTGATGCGCAGTGAAAGTAGTCTTTGAAGTTAGACATTAACACCACCAGATGCCGGCTCATTGATCTAATGGTTAAGTGCTCGCGCGTGAGACTGATAGGTCCTGAATTCGAATGTCACGGAGAGGGGGTGATCGTGAATGCGCACTCCTGAGGAGTCCCATACAAGGAAAAAGTGACTGTCCAGTGCTTCCAGGTTTTCCATGGTGGTCTAACTTTAATTGACTCATGATTTCAACTACTGAAATTACTAAGATCTCCACAAAACCCCTTCTGATAACCAATAAACAATTAGATTAAAAAAATAACATTGGGGCTGGTCTGATGCTTAATTTAATGGTTACTTACATTTAGATGTTAGTAGTATATATTCGTCGTTTAAAAAAAGGCCTTTGTAACTTTTAACGTTTAATTTCAAATGACGACTAAGCGATTAGTATTTTCCGAGATTATCTAATATGACATTGTTTTGAATGTTCATCGATCTATTTTGAAAACTACAATGGAACTAAGCAACCGGAATTCAAAGCACGCTGTGTTTGTATCCAGGTCAATGATGAAAAAATGACAGGAATCAATCCTTGATCAACATAATTCGATCTAAATTTAAATTGTACAGTATTTGGCTAATCTGTATTTCAAACATTGAAAGCGTATCAGTATAGAATTGTGGATATAATTGGGTTTTTATTGAAATCATAAACCAGTCAATGTTGGATCATTATTGAAAACCTGGAAGAATTGGATAACCGTTTCGTTTGAGTATAACTTTCCGCAGTAGTGCGCGTCTACGATCCTGAACGCACTACCTGAACCCTAGGCTTTCAGTCTCGCACGAACATTTAACCTCTAGATCACCGAGCTGACAACCTACATTGTTTACGCCTAAATTCAACCATTCCGCGACCATCTTTCTAATCAGATACTGTGACTGTTATATCCTAGTGAAGAATTAATTACGGATATCTTCTGAGAGCTATTAATGAACTAATATTATCTATATATTCTTATTGTATAACTATTCAGTAATTAGGTTGTGTATATCTAAGTTACTCTTATTATAAGCTTCATTTTGACCCATAATTTATTATGGTACGATTTACTGTTCTTAAGCTATGTTCAGTTTATTGACTACTGCCTCCCACGTTCACAGCTACTTTTTGGCTTTATTGTGTATGAATGTTATTTTCTATTTCATGGTGCGTTGCGGTCTGTTTGTTTGGTATATAAACCCAGTATGTCTAAAATAAATTATTCGCATAGTGGAGGTTGTTGTTAGCATTCTGGACTCAGCTGGACGGACTAGGCGAGCAACTGACCAATAGGACGCTAGGCTGATCAGACCGCTCTGAAGTCATTGGTTTAGTACAGTAAAAGGACGAATAAGTCGTATTTTTATTGGCGAATAGATTACGTGGTAACTAGAAAGCCATAAAGACACAACAGTGACCAGTGAAGCTAATACATGTCGAGTGTGAGGCTGCTACCCACTGAAGACCATGGAAGATTGTCGAGCGAATTCGTGGATTGGTTGAAGTTAAATAATAGTACCGTCTGATTCCAGCTCAATGATTTAGAGGCTAAATGTTCGCGCGAGACTGTAGGGTTTGGGTTTGAGTAGTGCGTGTAGGATCGTGGAAGTGCACTGCTGAGGAGTTTCATACTAGGATAAATCTGCCGTTCAGTGCTTCCAGGTTTTCGCTAGTGGTTCATGATCTCAGTAAAAAATTGTAATTGTAATAGTTATAAGTCACTTAGAATCAGGGAAAGGAATTACGAGTTCTCTAAATAAATTCAGAAATGAATTAATCTACATAACATGACATAAATAAAGAAATCTTCGGATATTGGTTAATATGCTCAAAGTTTTTATGGAAGATTTCATTTTTTCACGGTACTTTAAAAGTTGTACCGTTAATGTCATCAAGTAAGCACTCTATTCTATGTAGATTGTATATAAGCAGAAGGTCAACCCTATCGATAAACCGAAATCCCAGTCCTAATTCCTAACCTGGACCCCTAACGCTAATCCTATAACCGAGAATATCAATGTCATATAGACATACGGTTGAATTTATATATCAATTTTCATGTAAAATCCGTGTATCTTAGTTCTATAATTACTTTCCAATTAAACTATTCATTCTCAATGATTGTTTCCCGATTGGCTAAAAATAAGATAACATTTCGTCAGAATTATTTGAAAAATCGCTCAACTCCACCCTGTCCTATAGACTAACTGTTTTTATGATTTTATCCACAACATTGAACCATGGGTATTGGGTTTTTTTAAAGAAACTTAATTTACTATGTCTACTGAATCAATTTTATTGACTGGTGTTACTCTGAAACAAGAATAGTCTAATAAACAACACTATTTTTGCTTTACGTACTAATGACAGTTGTTTAATATTTGATTAGTAAAATTTAAACCGATCTAAACACACTGGATAATAATTATACAAGTCATGTTGATATTTCATATAATAGACTTCGATAAATGGATTACAACTTGACTTGTGCATATAACCATAACAACACTGGTATGTAGCATATCCAGATTTCTACTTAATTTTTTTACTTTGGGTTCAACCATTATGAAGGCGGAGCATAAATTACAAGAGTTATGACTAAGTGGTTATGACGTTGATCTTTCAACCAACAAAAAATTGGGTTTGAACCTCTCTCTGTCTAATATAGCTTAAGGAATTGAGTAGTATTATTGCTCTTCATACAGAAAAGTTATGTTGAAAAATTGAGTACGCAAATTTGTACTTGGTCAATGTGTAACATTTAAGTTCAAAAGAAATAAAGGTGCTAAATAATAATAAATGAAGAAACCACCAGCTTCTTCCGAAGATGAATCGAAGGAAAACAGCCTCTTTTCAAGATAAACTACTCAAACTCCTGTGTACGTCTAAGCAAGAATAGATGTTAAATAGAAATTGTTGTACAACCACTCAATATTTACAATAAAATTAAAGGTACCAAGGGTTTGTTTAGAAAGGAACACACTAAGTAAAAAATAAGTAAAAAAGCAACCGATCTTGACTATAATATTTTTCAATAGTATGTACGGTTTGTTGTGAAGATAGTTAGAAACTAACCTAAGAGGAAATATAAAATAATTTTAAGCATACAATTTAAAGTTTCCGAAGGCTTTTGAAATAACCTTTCGAAAGAAACTCAATACTACAATAGAGACACTATAAATATGGATTATTTAATGTTTATTTCTACTTGACAAATAACTTTGTTAAATTATCATTATGTCTGAAAAAAAATAATTTCTTTTGTTATAATTAAAATAAAAGAGAATCATTATCAGAATGAGGATTTGTGGAGATTGTAATAATTTTAGTGGTTAAACTCATCAGTCGATCTAAGCTAGACAACCATTGAAAACATAGAAGCACTCGACGACATGCGGGATCCTGAATGCGCACTGCTGAGACGTCCCATACTAGGACTAAATAGCCATCCATTGCTTCAAGGTATTCAATGGTGGTCTAGCTCAAATCGACTCATGAACTCAACTATTAAAAGAAAATTGCTTCAAATAAGTTTGTATAAACTTTTAGCTTAAGTAAACTATTGGATGAATGCAACTACACTTGATAATTTTGTATATAAATCTAGTGAATTGTTTCTCTAGAAAGTATTATCTTTTAGTTGACAAAGTCTTATTTGTATCACAAAAGGTTTTATGGAGATTGTAGTAATTTTAATAGTTGAGATCATGAGTCAATTGTAGCTAGACCATTATGGAAAACCTGGAAGCATTGGACGGCTGTTTTGTCCTATTGTGGGACTCCTCAACATTACACTTCCACGACCCCGCCCTGCGGGATTCGAACCCATTATCTAGCTGTCACATTTGATTTTTTCATTGTTTCCAGATAATATATTTCAGTAGTAATCCAATAATAAACTGTCGCCAACACTTCGTGTTGTCTTCGGAAATTTATACACCATTTGGAGTTATTTAATAGCGGTTATCAGGACAAGTGATATAAGAAGCCTTGGAAATTATCCCGAAGCTAATCCACTACACAAGTTCAGTTTATAGATGGATGGAATGGGTGAATAAGAAGCCATGAAGTAATCGAGTACAAGAAACAAGTATGATAATAAGTAATAACAACCCATACTAAAAAATTTTCACTAGTGAATTTTATGATTGTGAGAACCTTACATTTAAATAAATTTTTATTTATCCATATAAATTAGTGCATGTGCGGCAGATTCAGGAAAGATGAAACGAAAATCATAACTTCATCCTACAGTGTTTCTTGTTCCAATTAAACAAAAGTTTATCAAAGGAACCAATTGCATGAAACTATACTTTTGTTTTATTCTCTAAGTTATATGAGACTTAGTAAAAACGATGAGAAGCTCAGGGAGAAACAGTCATGTGAAAAGACTGGAATAAAAATTGGCATTTGAAGTCATTCGTCAGTAACCTATAAGGTCTTCTTCATCAGATCTTTGTTCATACTGTCTTATGGTTGAAACAGTCTTATTGGATAATCTATTCTGTTAGTGAACAGATTCCCACTAATCATTTAGTTACTTCTTTTAATTTTAATATTTAATTATTTGAAAATGTATGTAAATAGTGTTAGTTTGCCTAAATATTAGTTTTTTGTAGTCACAGGTCAATTATTTGCCTCTTGATAATTCTTAGCTCAAGGTGATGTAAGGTTCTGAAGTGAAGTAGGGATAGAGAAAGTCATCTTATTTGTTGTCCACCAGGAACATAATCCATTTCAATTATCGTATTTAATTCCTCTAAGCCATATCAATATATTTTCCATTTTTCGTTCACCTGATGAACTAAATATTACAATAGTCTTGCTATTTTTTGTTGTTGAATAAATCAATACAAACTTTGAAAATTACACAAACTTACATCTATGGCTTCCATTTCTGCATCATTTTGATTTGAAACCATTTGTTGTAAAGTATCACGATTTAAATTATCTTTTGATACAGTAATTCGTTCCATACTATCCTGTGTTTGCATAACTGAACTGCCACTGGATCCAGCTCTTTCAAGTAATTTATAGTTAGTTAATTTTTGTTCATTCAATTCCATATCATTACCAAATGAACTATGTCTTGAATGTGAAATTGTTAATATATTATTCGAATGATGATTTGGTACTGATGGGATTAAATTTGCAACTGTTTTAGTCACTTCTTCTGTACGCTCATCTAACCAATCAGATAAAACATTTGCTTCTTCTTCGAAATGTCTCCAATATAGTAAAACATTTTGTAAACATGCATAACGTGTATTTACCCAACTAACCAAACGACTCCAACGAGTAGCTAATTCAGCAATTACATTTTCTATACCACGTTCATTCATATAATTATCTTCATTATCTGTTGCTTTTTGTGGAACAATAGTTATGAAATTATCTAAACGTTCTGCTAATGCTTCGCCAGATTCAATTAATTGTTCTAAACATCGATTTGCTTCTAACTGCTTTTTAATATCAGCAATTGACGGACCAATTTGTTGATTCAATTGAAGAGTTCTAAATGTGCATTTTTTAGTACAAAAAAGTATCATGGTGAAAATTTGCAACTAACATCCAGTTGCATAAATCAATTTTGATCAAAAATTTATTCAACGAAATTAAAGTTGTATTCCTTTACCTACTCACAAAGATACCAGTAGTTTGCTAACCGTTTAGTGGAAAACGAGGGTTGGTTTCAGTTTTATATGATGATCACTGTGATTTATTTTGACTATACATTAGGTAGACATAAACGATTGAAAATCTCAAGTAATTACATATAGTTCAAAAACGAGGGAAAATATATCCTACTATAGAGGACCTTAGAAAAAGCTTTACATATATGTAGTTTTCTAAATCGGCCGTTAGAATCTCGTTCAGTCCAATGAAGTTGATATTACAATTAGAAATGTATGACGCTACAATATCAATGAATGAAAGTAGTTTTTTGGAATAATAACTCGCTTCTTATTAATTTTTACGTTGAAATTCCATGTCTATTTCAATCCTAGTAAATTGTAATGATATTTTAAAACTTTAGTCTTTCATCATTTTATTGTTAACATAAGGTCAACTCATATCTATAGACATGTAACTATGACTATCCAAGAATTATATTTGAATGAAGCCTTTCACGCTTTATCATATTAGTGATTTTTTAACATTTTATTAAAATAAAGGAACAAACTTACTGCTCATTTTCCAATTTATCTAATTGTATACGTATAGCACTTAAAAGCATAGTTTGTCGTCTAAGTAAACTTGCTGTTATACGTTTACCCACAGCAGTATTTAAACGACATAGATTATTCCATCTTGTTGCTAGTAATACAGTTTGTCGTTGAATAACAGCAGGATCTAATTCACGAAGTTTTTGCTGTATTGTTATTTGTCTTTGTTTTTCCTCCATATTCTCAGAACTGTCTTCATCGCTAGCATCAACACCAGTTTGAACACTGTTTGATTCCTTTTGACTTAACATTTCACTATTTTTCAGAATATTATCTAAGTTTTCATGTGTTTTTATTAAACGGTTACCAAGACGTAGACAGCGCCCGACAGCCATTTGACGGCGTGATAAGTGAGCAGTTAAATCCTAATTTGATTTTATTGATTATTAGAAGAGAAGAGAGAAAAAATGGACATCAAATAAAGTATTTAAAGACAATTACGAAACAATTAAGAGAAAAAGAGAAATTACCATCGTTCCACTGCAGAAATATTAATGTTTGCAAAAATCAATGAAATAATGTCACAATTCATTGTATAGCGTGAAATGTTTCCATCATTCAACTGTGATGTAGTTAGGTTTAACACTTAGGACTACTGAATGGTTTTCGTGTATATATGACATAATAGACTAATGAATGGTGTAAACGAATAGTAGTTACACATAATTTTACAGTAGATAATCAATTTTGATAAGGGTAGCAACCAAAGCAATTACGACTTTCAACTATAGTCTACATTTATGTTCTTTGTCGTAGCTTTTGTTCACGATTTTTAGGTTCAATAGCTCTTACTAGAAGGAATTCCATATTCTACAAAACTATTGAATTAAAATCACCACAGTTAAGTCTTCGCTTCACTATTTGAAAACAATTTCTCACCATCAAGTCTGAATATCCTGAAATAAATTCATTTCAAGTAATATCCAGGATCTTTAATCGGAAAAAAAAATCAATATTGAAATATTTTTTGTAGAGCTTCATGAACTTAAGGTTTCTTGTCAACATTTTCCAATGTGAGAAGACTACAAAATGGACTAGTAAGAGAATGATCACTAATAATCCCATGTCTCAACTCTGCCTTTAGTATAATTTTGAGTGATTCTTCTGTTTATACATTATGGTCACTAAGCTAAACCACTGAATATTAATATTCAATACATTTGATTATCACAAAGAATATCCTGATACGGATTTCATGCTTAGTTGAATTGCTTATCTGTAGGGACGAACTGACGATCTTCAGAAGACCTGAACCTGGGTCAACCAAATTTCATTTATAAACTTCATTATTCAGCTATTTAATCCATAAGTAATAGCCTAAATTATAAAAACTACTTCACTGGTGGATTATTCTATAATAGCTAATAGCAAGTTATTTAATTTCAGTTGCCAATAGGGTTTTCTATTTGGCTTCTTTTGTGAGCACAAAATTAAAAATGGTTTGATAGCGCATACCAATAACCAATCACAGAAAACCCTACAAACACGCACACAATCAGACAAACAGAAACTTTTTAAAGCTTACCTCATGTGTTTCAAACTTATCTCTGGCTTCATCAATGTTTTTTAAAATTGCTGCATGCATTAATGTTGTTTCATTTGAGTTGGCTCTTTGAAGACGAAGAATGAAATTTTTATCTTCTTCATTATGCACTGATTGTAACTGATCATTTTTAGTCATTGTATAACTGTTACTCGTAAAATTACGCGGATCCTCTTGTAGATCGTTTTGCCCAAATTGTTCTTCCATAGCCAATAACCATGCTAATGTTGTTTCAATTACTGTACCAAAATGATCAGGATCAGGTAAACGATTTATATCACCAGTTTCGTCATCTGAATCACCTTCAACTTCATCATCAAGCCAAGAAGTTTCCGACGTACTACATGTTGATGTCGGTGAACATCGACTTTCAACTATAACATTTGGTTCTTCATTTGACTGTCCATGAATCTAAATATTTTTTAAAGTTTCAGATTAAAAAAGAATCGACTTTATTCAATCAGAGGATAATAACAGAAGATAAAATAACACTTGGTTAGTCATAGTCAGTAGTACTAGAGATTTCGGGGCTACCTAAATGAGACATTGATAGCTAGATTTAAGGAGCGAATTTCGTGAGAATGAGAGTAACTTGGCTATTTGTATCTGATCAAAGCTAAATTCGTATTTATATTTCGTCATCTTACCTGCATATTAAGAAAAATAAGATCGTGAGGAGTAACTGTTTCAAATCGAGTTAATAGTAATAGGGTTTTTGTGTCTACATCTGTACTTCAATGAAGCAATGATTCAAAGATAAATAACTCAAAATCTTTTATGATGTACGTTTTCCCTCTTCTTCATACATAACCACACCATTTCTACAACAATAAACTAGATCACGTAACGTTTTTAACATGCAGATGTTTCAGTAATGCGCACTAAATGAAAGGTAGATTGTTCTACTTTTATTTATGAAGTTTTAAATATTTATCATATTGAATTCCTTGTGTTGAACAAAAACAATGTAAGTCTAGAAAATTAATGTTTCACTGACAAATGTTCTTTTAGAAACGTCATATCTGATATTTAGTTAAAAACCATAGACGACATATTTCTTTCGGTATTAAAATCTAATACCTCATTATAAATTTTCGAGAAATCTGAATAGGATTATTTGATTTTTTTTTATAGTTGAAGTCAAGAACGCACATTATTATTTATAAACTGATCCCATAAGTTCATTTGTTTGCCCTAACAAAAGAAATTGACGAATATTTATTTCAGTTCCTATGTTGATGATGATTGGTGTGAAATTGATTTTATTTATATCATTTTACTAGCATTGAATCTGCTTTCTCAAGGTTAAAATAGGTCCTCGGTTCGAATCCCGCGGGGCGCGTCGTGGATGCGCACTGTTGAGGAGCCCCTCAATAGAACGAAACCGCCGTCCAGTACTTCCAGGTTTTCCATAGTGGTATAACTTCAACTGACTCATGATCTCAACTACTGAAGTTAAAATATTTGTTTGTTAAATTTATATTTCTTCTACTGAAATTTTCAGTCTACCATGTTAGTTTTAAGTTGATAATTCTCTCTAATTCGGACTTAAGCTTGAAAAATATTTTCCAAAATATTTTTATATATTTCAGATTATTCTATGGCATTAGGAATTAACTTGATTTGGAATTATTAATGCTCCAGTTGATGAATGAGTTCTGTCGAATATCATTCTGTATCATCTGAAGCTGGAAAATATGAACTATTCGATAAAAAATGTTCTCCAAAAATAAGAAAAATATTCACAATCTATCTAATTAAATCAACAAATAACTGAACTAAAGACATGTCAAATTAATATTAAGCTGACTGTTCTTGTATATATTGTCTTTTTTCATTGATTCGAAAAAGAATGATAAGCAATCTAACGAGAAAACCTGTACAGTATTATAACATCGGTTTTGGAAAAAAACACATTTGTAACATGGTAAACAACTCACCATAGCTGCTGTTTGTATTTCTAGAATACCCCTAGAACGACGTTTTCTATCTCTTTCAACCGCTTTACGTAATTCTAAGAGATAAACAGCAGTCGATCTAGCATCAATATTCTCATGACGCATATCTACCGGTTCTAGTAGTCTTGGAGTGGCAAATTCAGCTGTTGCTAAATGAAATGCAAGTGATAAATTTTGATTGGGTGTTTTTTCTAATCGAGATTCAAACGTAAACAATTCTGATCTATAAAAATTAATGATTAAAAGGGGAAGAAGTTTTAAAAAAGGTTATAGCAAAGATGAAAACAAAACAGTTAGTTCCTTTCATAGACGATAGCCATCTATGTATCATGAATTGACTTCAGTTGGAAATATAAACTGCTGAATATTAATTCGGTGAATTATAAACAAATCATTTTATGTTCCGTCTGAAAACTTTAAGTGTCTCTTGTGGGTGTACGACGCTGTGGAGTCTCATACTGAAACAAAGAGTTGTACGGTGATCCTGGTATTCTGTGACTGTCTATTTTAAATTAGTCCATCAAATGAACTAAAAATAATTTATTTTAATTTCAAAAAATAAATTAAAGATTGTTATGATAAGAATTATCCTGATATTGCCTAATTTGGTCTTTTATTGTATTAAACCACCTTTGCTCATCAGTTAAGGGGTGGTTATGATAATTACCAATTATGATAATAACCAACACTATGGACAATGAGAAAAAAGAATGTAAGTCGTAAACTAATGTTCTTAATTGATTTCGAATTATTTATAAGTTTTAAAAAAAAATGATTTTGTTTATTCAATTTCGACGAAATGTTATTTGAATGTATATATTTTGATAGCAGATAGGAGGAAGGTCCACAGTATACAAATCGTCATGTTTAGAACTGGTCGACTGCATATATCGTGGTAGTGATCTTATGACAACTTATGATTTCCATTTCTATATTTGAAATAAGAAAGTGTTCATATATAGGAATTATGAAAACTGGTTGATGTTTTACTCCAATTCATGGAATTTTTAATAAATCCACAGCTGGAACTGCAAAAACAACAAAAGTTTCGCCAACCAAACTAAAATATTTTAGTCCATATACGATTTGGTTTTGATTTCGTTATACTGTATGTCTGAGTTTGAGTTGACCATATCAAGTTGATGAACGTACACAGAAACCATGTAAATAATTTATATGACTATCAATTACGTAGTGAAAGAGCTAGTAAAACTCCAATTTATTGACTGTCCTAAAACGATTTAAGTTGGTAGTTTTTGAGACATGTTAGCCTCATCTTTAAATCCGTTGTGTGGTCTGAAGTGTTTGGCTTTAGTAAGCTTTAAACTAGAGTGAAAGAATTCTACAGCGCTGTTACGTTTTTAGTGTTTCCTTCTCACATACAATTCGAAACTCCCCTAAATCTTCAGTAACAGTTTCTTTCTTCATGATAGTCTTAAAAAAATTTTGTAACCGATTTTATTTTATCAAAACCAAATATTAGTTAATGAATCATAAATTAACCTTTTTGTTACCATCACTAAATCACCTATGAATCATCAAAAAGGTTTAAGTATTAACATTGTGTCCATAAATGAAGTGACCTGTTTGTTTTCGAATAAATGGATTACTGTATCCAGTTTGTTTATAGCCCCAGTTTAGTGTCACAAATACAAGCATATGTTGAATGCAACTGCGTAAATAACTATCGAGTTATCAAAATTCGTCGTCTGGTGAACATATTTGTTTTAAAACATTAACGCAATGATTATTAGACTAAACAACAAAAATAAAAGTAATAAGTTACTTCTTTTCTTCACTGATTACAAATAATCCCCCCAAAATAATAATGTTATGAACTAAATGTCTAACTATATAAAGGAATGAAATATTTAAAAAGGCAGAGGACAACAGTGTGTTGAGAGAAAGTAACGTAATCCTAATCGATACAATCTTGTTTATTGTGTAGTTTTTCAATAAACTTCATTGTAGTATTTACGTAGATTTGATTAGGTTTCGAAGTATCTAGTTACATGTAAAATCAACTAGTATTCAGGGAGAATCATAAACGTGAAATAAGCAATAAACATGTAACGTATAGTTTCCATTCTTTTATCAATCAGTAGTGAATCAACTAACTTCAAATCTGACTCATTAAGTTGAAATATGTTAAAAATGGAATGACGACAATTAGGTTAAGAAGCTCCAGTTTTGAGTGTCTAGTCAATGCTTAACACCAATTCAATGTAAATGATTGCGAATCAATCAACTCTAAGCTGTGAGAATACGGTTTTTAAGTACAACGACAACCAAAGCAACTCATTCAGTTAAAGCAATTTTCCTAACAAACAATTTTTTAAAAAAAAACTTTATGTGATTAAAGATTCCCCTAACTTGTTTGACATTCCTATTTAATAAGAGTCTTTATCGCTGCCTACCTCGAAATGTATTGGATGAAGCGAAGTGTGGAAAAACGAAGACTTGACATTAATGCATGAAGTCAGTGACTTTCGGTAGGTGTAGACTACTTGACTGATTTTCGTGCAACAACTATGATCACTATTTGAAGACATTGAGGGACATAGCTCAAAGTCAACCACAGTGGTGCTGATATATTCGGTTTTTATTTTTCTTCAAATTTTGAGATATTGAATTATTTGTATTCTCTAACATCATGTCTGCCTTCAAATAACATCTCCTGTTTAGTCAGAATATCACCATTACTATTATTATCCCGACACCCTTCAACTTCGTGTGTTTAAATGGTGAAACAATTTGAGTCAACGTATTGTTGACTCAGGTCTTTATTCGGTCGACTTAGTGAATTCTTTTGTTCTTCTTGTATAGTATTACCATGCATTATACAACCTAGTCTGTTTAGAACCTCACACCTTTATTTCGTATGATATTTCTATTTATTTGACCACTTAACTTGAATTTTTGAATTTTTGCACTAATTACACAATAGTCTGATTTAATAACGTCATGTTTGAATTTATTTGATATTGAAACCTTTGAGCTTTATAATAAACTATTTATTAATTGAACAATATTATATCTATTGACCGTACAAATAGTGTTACACAAGTCACTAACTAATAAGCAATGATTTTATAATCAGTTTTGATATATATATATATATATATATATGTCACGAACTGAGCGAAGTATGGGACTCATCATCACTGTGTATCCATAATTCAACGAGACTTGGTCTCATACGAGGACCCAACATTTATCCAATGTTCCTAGGTATTCAATATGTGTTTAATCACAGTCTACAATATAGACCAGACAATTCAATAATCTTGATAATCTGCCTTCCTCCACCAAATATAGCTTTCAATGGTTAAGATCATGAGTCAGTTGAAGCTAGACCACTACGGAAAACTGAAAGCACTGGACGGCCGTTTAGTCCTATTGTGGACTCCTCAGCAGTGTGCATCCACAACCTCGCCCTCTGCCAGATTCGAACCAAGGACCTACTGGTTTCGCGCACGAGCACTTAGCCACTAGACTACTGAGCCGGAATCCAACGGTGTTAATGTCTAACTTCAACTAAACCACGAAATTTAGCGACACATTCACCATTGTCTTCAGTGAGTTACTATCTCACAACAGACCTGGTTGAACTCCACTGGTCACTACTTCTCACTAAAACTTCAGGATATACCTCTTGAAGCCAGTCATTAGTGAGTATATGTTGATTAATATCAGATGGGTTTTTTGTGGAGATTGTAGTAATTTCAATGGTTAAGATCATGAGCCAGTTGAAGCTTTTGTAGAGAAATGTTAGACAGTTAAATAAAACGGAATATTTCTTAATTGAATTTCATATTCCCTTTGTCGAAAAATAAACGTTACAACTAGATTGTGATGAAGATACACTTATCAGACAGATTTGAACAAAATTTTGTTATTTTTAATTTCGTTTACCAACACAGATATGTATTATGCATTAAAAAAATAAGAGAAAAATCAATGAGACATATAGAACATCACATACTTGACAATGAAAAAAGACTTGTATTATTTAATAGGCACTTGTAATTGTTTTTACTGATAAACTGGATTACTTTGCATAAGTTAAATACATTTCGATACATTAAAATGACTGTATATTATTTATGTTTTTCTTGCCTTTACAGAAAGAAAAGCTATTAACGTTTTACGACATCATTCAAAATCGGATGTGTTTTGAAATAGGTTTATGGTAATTCTTACTTATGAATAACTGGTGTACTGTTTTAATACAAACTAAATCTGAATGAACTAGACAAACTGAACAACTAATATACAACATTTCAACAATTATCCTCAACGTTATGGAGGACAGGAAGAAATCGTCAGTTCAAGAGACGATTAATATCGAATAAGAGAAAATTTGAAGTCAGACAACTCTGTAAAACGTGACCTTGGGAAACATAGTGAGTTCAACCAGGTCCGTCGTGAGACAGTAACTCACTGTAGACAATGGTGAATGTGTCACTCAACTTCGTGGATTGACTGAATTTAGACACTAACACCGTTGGATGTCAGCTCAGTGGTCTAGAGGTTAAGCGCGAGACTGATAGGTCCTAGGTTCAAGTTTTGCGAGGCGGGATCATGAATGCGCACTGCTGAGGAGTCCCACAATAGAGCGAAACGGCCGTCCAGTGCTTCCAGGTTTTCCATGGTGGTCTAGCTTCTATTGACTCATGATTTCAACTATTAAAACTACTATAATATCCACAAAACACCCTTCTGATAGCGAAATCAATAAACTGAAAATAACAATCACCTATCAAATAACACAAAATATTCGTGCAGAAAAATTATCACAGTTTTCCTTTTTCAAAAGAATTAACATTTATTAACAAAAAATAGATTAAATTAGGTCCTCTCAGCAAAATGCAACTTGTTTTTCTCAGAGGTCTTCGAACTATCATTCTGATGTTGAATTATGGCTATTATGATTGAATGTTTGCACTAAGTAATGTTTTTTTTTCTCATTTTCCTTACGCATATTCATATTTTTGCACAAATCTTAACAATATCTAGGTTCGATTGAATGGTTACGATTCAGTTTCAATATTGATATTTCAAATTGATTAGGTGTCATAAAGTAATAATTAATTATTGGATGAAATGTTTTAATAGTTGAAACATTCTAGTTTAAAACACTATTTTAGATATTCAGATCATCTAAACGATATTGATTACCGTGGTAAATAATATAATCTTCACATATACAACTAGACTTTGCTACTGAGTTAGGTTATTGCTCACATCTTTATGGTGTTGCTTTAAGAAATTTACGTTTTAATTTCATGAACTAGATAATCTGGTTTTCTTATAATTACCGGATTTGAAGTATTGATCAGAAAATATTTATAAGTGTTAATATTCTTAGTTTTATGAGATGGTTAAAAAATGCAATTATTTGTCAGCTTTGAGGCGACTTTAAGATTCACAAATATTTTATGTCCTATGGCTCGTCAAATATCACGTGAAAAATCGCCAATCACAGGATCAACTCCTATGACCTTGTTCATGGGTTGGATAATGGCACGTAAACCACTACTAGCAGCCTTAAGTCAACTCTGAATCTATATGGGTCCGTGATATGGTAGCTTCTCGACTAACACAATCGGTTCAATCTAGAACACAAATATCAGCCTCGACTATATAAATCACATATTTCAAACCCCGTTCACTATGGTTAGATAGAACACACAAACTAAGGATTTTTTCAAATTTATTTTGCTGAATAGTCATTAAATTCTGGCTTTAAGCAAGAAAACTCAATCAGTTCCTTCTTTCTCTTAGCGGAATTGAAATCGATTAAAAAAGTGTGTGTATAGAGAATGTTTTATGCATATTTGTTCAATATATATCAACCCTAACCATAAGCAGGTTGACCTGAATTTATTATGACTGGGTTTCCAACGTTTTTGTATATTTACACGTTTTGTTCATCTGCATTGTCTAAGTGATTACTGGTACACACATTTACAGATAACAGTGGGTTGATTAACATATAAATGTACATAAGTAATGGCCTAAAACATAGTTGGTGATGGTGACTAAGCTGAGCATTTACACTTCATTACACATCTAACCTTTAAATTATACTGTACATAATTTCCATTATTTAGTGCAATTAGTTAGGGAACCAAAACAAACCAAGTGGTATTACATTACAGAAATGTAAACATTTGTTATTGACGTTAGAGTCGTAGGCTCGACTCCGTGCAGGGTGGTGCATTGTGTACTGCTGAGACAGTTTTCTATGATTTTCAATGGCTTTTCATCTTACTTCCATCTGTGACGAAAATTACCTTCGAAGTATAAGTGAATCTTTACAAAATCATCTCATTTGAACTACTATCAACAAAACAGTAGTGATAAGAATGGAAATAGAAAGAGAAGAAGGAAATAGGCATTTTCGTTCACTAAGCTATGGAAAATACGTAAACATGAATCTAACTACTTTCTAGTAATAAAAACAAAGTAATTACGTTCTAATGAGTAAAAAACTATTGAAATGTTTTATTAAACAAATATCAACCAGCTTATTTATCCTTAGCTGGGCATGATACAAATATGTTGATATTTGTTCTACTTTCTGCATAAAGCAATATATTTGTTCTAACATTTCTATAGTCAACTTACAAACTTTTCTTTCCTTAACGCTAAAAGAAATATTATGAGAAGTGCTGACTAGAATAGTATCACTTGTATAAATGGAGACAGTTATTATTAAGTTAATGATTTCAGTCCATCATGGTAGTACCCATTTTTCTATTATTAAAAATACACAATGATATTAAAACTAGAAGTGAGTTAGTTAAAGTTTCCACCTTCTCTAAGCTTGATTCATCACTTTACACTAATAATAAATATATCCTAAACTTATGCAATAATCAAGAGGCCTTAGTTTTTCTAAAAGCTTTTTTAAATGAAATATTATCTATTTGATATAGAATTAGCATAGTTAACTATTAAAAATATCGATCAGCACAATACCCATTCTGAAGTAATATCGGTTGAAGGTATTTCTATAACGTTGGAAATGATTAAAAATGGTTTGTTTATTATTTGTGGATATCACAACTATGATCTGACTTGATATTATGACAATCGATCTGATCATTTTCTCATGGATATTATTTGAAATATATTAAATGAAACAATGTGTTTTTGAATAAAGAAACGAATAAAATACTATAAGTTTGTGCGGTATTATTTACCTTATCTCTAAGTTAAGATAGAAAAACTGCAATGAGTTCTAAAACTAAACAAAATCAAACGATTATGTAAAATAAGTAGTAAACTTTGAAATGTTTTAGTTAGAAAAGATGAAAAAATCTTTTAACAAACGAACGGAACTGTTTCTGTGTAGTAGGTTTTGTCGAGTATAATCTATTCTAAATTTGACAGTTTTTATTACTCGTCTCAAGGATAATCTAAAACCCACAAAAAGACCTCTTTGTCAAAATGAAGAAAAACGAATTGATAATGGGACATACTATTTTTAATAAACAATAAATTGATACTAAAGTATCAAAACAATTGAATGCAATACTGTTCAGTGAGACGAAAGACGAGTGGCTAAATCTTTTCATGCATTATTAAACTTTACTACATTAAATGAACTCGAAGACCTGATCATCTACATAACTGGATTCATCTTACAAATATTTCACGTTTTTTTTCTACGCCCACTCACATACACAAAAACTTGTCTGATATAAAATCCTTTTTGAACCGAATTATAAGTTGAACTTGTCTGCATTATATATTTGCATTTCATTTATCTCTCTGTACTATTTACATTGGATCTAACTATTTGTAATTAGTTATTTCCATTGTCGAAATTTAGATATTGATTTGCGTTATCAAATATATTTTATGGATAAAATTTTTCTTATTACTGTAATGAGTGAGAACCCAAGTGGGGAAGACCAATTTGTTGGTTAATACGAAGTTACACAATAAATTGGTAAAATATGAGAACCATACATTAAATACTTCATTTGCAAATCTTCCATCAATTATCCTTCAAATTATGTATGGTTCTTTTAATTCATAATCACTTTCTGTTTCTCTATGTTTCCTTCAACTCAATCGTTTTCGCCTTCTGCTAACATGCATTTCACTTCTGATTGGTGTTATATACTATTTATGTCGACAGATACAAGTAGCATACAGCATATTATTATTAATAATACCGGTTTTACCCTGATCAATTGATAATTACCTTAATAACTAGTTTGAAAGTTATGATTATTTAATTTAGATGACCAACTTCTAATAAAATGTATCTTTAAATATATTACACTTGATGCGTTAATCCCATTTATGATATGAAAGAATTTTTGTCGATAATATTTGGTCAATAAACACAATTGAACACTTTGAACTTTCTTCATTTACTGTTTTCTCTACATTTTCTTTTGTGATGATATTGACATAATTATAACACAGTAAACATATCACATTTGTTAATCATTCTTTTCTAAAAGGTCATTAAGAACATGAACATTCTTGTGGAAGAAATAACTATGCGAATTAAAAGCAAACAAACAATTGATTTATCTGCGTAGATATAATAATATTAATAATTTTTTAGGAATAATATTTATATGAATTAAACATACCTTATTTGATGTGCTATAGCTAGAAATGCTAAACCATCACGCCATGAATGTGTAAAATTTGTTAAGCTAATACCAGGATATCTGTAAATATATGATTGGAGAGAAAGAAAAAAATTATAACACAACAAAGATAACTTAAAATTATGGTAATATCAGATAGGATTTTCATAATGTCAAATTATAGCTAAAAGTGGAATCAGAAATAGACATCTTGTCCCATTTTAATGTTCATCAGTTGGATGTATCCACATATTAATGTTGATGTTTACAATGTAATTCACATTAAGTATTTATTGTTTTAAATCCCAACATACTGTTCACTAAGCTACCGGGTCTAGATAGCCAGTAATTAGTAGATTTATCAGGAACTTTCGTCGTAGAACGCTGAGCTCCATTTGATGCAACTGTCTTCATTATGATGCTTGATTCATTTTCCGTTTCTTCGTGGGTGGGTATAGCAAAAGTTTCATGTGCATTTAACAAGACCCCGTCTTTCCGTGAGCTGGACAAATCACTGCTTGTATATTGTGTTTCGGGGGTTATGAGATTTGAACCCTGTGCAGGACATGTTTCAGAAATGGAAATTCGTGAACCACTGGACGGATCATATACGATTGCTATTGTTTCGTTTAAATTATTGCTTGTCGAGCATTTATGGAGGCCTTTACTGACACATTCATCCACTCTGCAATCATTTTCTAGTTCTGTACGCAATTTAGAAATTAGTTCATTTACTCCCATCACATCTCCAAAGCATGGATGATTCAGTAGCCGTGTGCGTAATTTGTCTATAAATTCCAACTGATTTTTTTTAAAACGGTGCTATTGTCGCTGAAATAACAATTGCAATTGATCGGAAGGGAGAGTCATTTTCTGTTTCTGTATAAATCAGTACGGTAATGAAAAATACTGTATGATTAATTAACAACCAATGTGGTTCAAGGACACCGACGACAATTCTGTATACTGATTATCTTGAGTTTTTTTTCCCTTCGTCACCACCGATATGTCTTCTTTTTGAACGGCAGATCCGGCTCCTAAACTCCGCTAGTAACGCCGAAACGCGAATGACACCCGAAAATAAGTAACTCGGCATCTCGGCCAGGTTGAGTTTTCATGATCTGGTTATAAAAATCAAATTTTCCAGCTATAGGATAGCAATAATTATCCTGAATTCCTAGAAGTCACATTTAAATCTGAAAAATATACATGATAGTTGTATGTTGCTGATAATTTATAGAGCAAACGTTAATACTCTTCGATCAATCCCTTGCTCATTAACAATTAGTATATAATCACGTTGTACTGTTAATAATTAATTCTTCTCATTAAGATTACATTTACTTCACATGTTAAAAGTTCCTAATTTTTTTTCTTCCTAAAAAACATTTTTTTAAAGTCTTCCCATAAATTAAGGAAAAAGCAATACCATTTGGGAAAATTAACAAATCATCAGACATTGCTACACCATCACAAAATCTGTAAATTTAATAGTGAAGTTCATTGTATAACTCAGTTGGAAATTCTGTAATAAGCTTTTAGTGTATCTTGAATGAAATAATCAGACTATATATTATTTTACTAATGAAGAATAACTTCTCGTTCGATATCAAATTCAAGTATAAAATATGTTTTTCAGTATCTTCTTATTATTTCTGTCAAATTCTAGTTTTTACTACAAAAACCACCATTATAATTACTGTTGTAAATATCATTGATAGAACTGTTTGATTCTCGTGTGTGGAATTACTTGCGCCCATTGCTAAGGAGTCCCATAATGGGACAAGACTGATATCAAGTGCTTTCAGGTTTTCAATGATGATTTAGCTAAGATTAGTTTGTGATTTAAACTTTAAAAACCTTATAACTTCCACATATCTCCTATGCTAAAAATGTAATTGCAAAATAACGTAGTTAAGTTTAATTTTGTTTTCTTTGTTTGACAGTGAAGTTTTCACAAATTGAACAAAAAACTATCTCGTCAATTGTTATTGAGTAATAACTAATAAAACAAACTATGCCCAAACTCTATTTAAAGGAGCCAAGACTCACTGCAATACATCTATCATGAGAACATCAGATGACTGTTTTTCAAACAACTGCTTTGAAACAGCCCCCAATCGGGAAATCTTACATCGGAGAAGGAGTTTATATTCTTCTTCTTTGTTTACGTGAGCATCGATTCGCCAACATACACACAGCATATCTTTTTTATGTCAATACATGTAGACAACTGTGGACACTTATTTAACTGAGATAAGGTTAAAATCTTGGATAAAGCCAACACAAAGGATATAAGGGAATTCGTAAAAGTTTTGAACTCAGGTCCATTGGGAACCTATAAACACACTGATCTAAACCAAATTTATTAACCATTTGAAAAATCCTAAACAACGGTTAGTCCAAGAACCGAGTTAGTGAGAAAGATAATCAAAATAAACATTCAGATGACGATAAGACTTGTGTTGAGGAAAACCACTCAAATATGTTGTCGGCAAAATAAGTTGCGGCGAAACCATAACTTACGAGCAAACCAGTCCGATTTAAGGTAACACATCTTGGATTTTGGCTCGAAATTCATTCACCCATATGGTTAGATAGAATTTCAGCACTATAGTTGATGTCAGTTCATGACAAAAACCCTAACTCTAATTTCCAACATTAACTTCTCAATCTAAGTCCCAATTCTAATTTCTCACACTAATTTATAACCCTCTTTATACCCTAATAGGTAGGTTAATTTTCCCAACGTCACTTTGGTCGTCCAAGCTGCTAGTCACATGCGGAGTGATTGTCACAGCTCCTTTCTATTTGAAGCTTGTGTTGGCGATGTTGTTTAGAGGTGTAATGAAAGATTCACGACTGAATGAAACAAAATATCAAAGATTAAAGTATTTCAAAATATTAAGTCATAAAATCTGGATAGTTAAAATAGACTAAACTGCAGGATGGAGATCAACGAATAAATGGTAATCGGATTAACAGATTTGTATGGCATGGTTTAGTTAATAGCAATACTAGGATAATATTCAAATTTCTCTCTACCACCGCATAACTCGAACTCTACTTCTAGTTACTATCTGGAAAAGAGCACGCCTAATATTAAAAAATATATTCAATAATAAAAGTAACAATAATTCTCTAATGTTTTAAACCTAGATGATCTATACATAAAAAATAATTTAAATATTGTAGGATAATAATAAGTTTTCAGTAGGTGATACTGTGAACCATAAGAAGCTCATAATCTTATGCTTTGGTTTTAAAATATTTTAATTGTTATTTACTTCCAATACTTGGTTTTTAAACTTTAACTGTCATTAGCTCTAAGTGTTGCGTTGAAAATAACATATTACAAAAATTTACTAGATTTATCAACAAGCGAAGGAAGGACTGTTGTTCAACAACTAAGTATGGTACTCACCCTTCGGTCACAGCAATACACCAAGCTAGTAACCGTTTATCCTGACTTATTAACCATCGATCTACACATGGTGAACGTGTTGATACAAGAGCAGCTGGCGCTGAATGACCAGTCGATGAAATACTTTGACTTCTTTTAGTTATTGTCGAACCTGATGAACTAATTGATCCAACTAAGTTTGTTGATGGACCAGTTCCAGCTCGAATAGCAACGATTAAAATCCATAGGGTATCTAAACCAAGTAGTAATAAACTATATTCAGTTGTTCTGGAACTCGGGGAATATTCCTTGAGTAGTTTTTCTGAATCAACTGTTGAGTTTTGCGTAAATTCAGAGATAGCTGATTGAACAACAGTGGCTATTTCATTCTGAAAAGAGATAATTTTTGGTGAATAAGAAAATGAAAAGAAAAAAACATATTTAAACATGAAAACTAAGCATTCAAAATGTGAGATGTTTGTTTCCTTTATAACTGTCAGCATCAAGTTTTGTTTGTTATCATGCGTTAATCCGGTGCATTACTACACAAGTTGATTTAGATTAGCGTTTATATCAGAAAATATCCATCAATACGATAAGTGATGAGCATTGGACAATGGATGATGAAGCAGATCTTACTTATCAAATGATACATGTATATAGCACAGGATAACTTTAAGATCACTTCCTCTTTAGTTGTCATCCACGGTAACTGGTAGTATACCGCATAATTTTTCACTGGAGGGCAAACATTTTGGGTGTTATTATCAACAAGTCCGTGTACAAAAACAATTTGTCGTAACCCTGAATTTACCTTGATAATCCTTAAGTCATTCTATGGCCTAGGATAACGCGACAATTTCTTATTCTTTCTCTCCCCTTAGTTATTTTAATTGTACTTTTATTTGTTTAACCTTTATTAATTTTCATATAAAAATGCCTTGACAAGTATATGTGTGACCAGATTGTTCGAAATGTATAGCGCAAATACATCACATTTTTCAGATCAACTCCGTCTTCTCATTGTCCTATCGAAATTTATAAAAGGGACTAATTGCTTTATATTATCAACTAGCTAACATATGCATAATGTATCTAGGTAGATAAACTCAATGAACAACGGATAAGGTTAGCACAGAATATGAATCAATTGTTCAATCGTCTAGAGCATTTTAACTAAACACAATAAATAAACAAATGGCTAAACAAAACGATAAATACCGTAGAAAAGTATATTTTTCCCAATTATCGCACTGGGTAACAATGTATGCATAACCATGAATTTATTTTAGTCAGTTTGTTCACTCTGAGCTTTATAGCTCACAGTATTTTCAGTAGTTTAGTGCACCTTAGATGAAGAGCCTTTGTTTATTTTTCTCTACACGTTACTGTTTATGAATCAAGCATCTCATGGAATGATTTCTTACCTTAAAATAACTTTTAACTGATATTCAGTAAGTTCCTTTGTTCTTCAAGAATGTACATTGGGATCAACTCCGCGTGACAAAATATAAAATAACTAAACACATTGTCTGGTCATTTGATTGGGATTATAGCAAAAATAATTGGTTAAGCTAAAATTCAGTTTACAAATACTTCATTTTCACTTTTTTCCCTTAACAGAGAATAATATTTTTTGATGGTTGAGATCATGAGTCAGTTGAGGCTAAACTCCCATGGAAAACCTAGAATCACTAGACAACCGTTTCGTCCTATTGTGGGACTCCTCAGAAGTGCGCATCCACGATCCCGCCACACGAGATTCGAACCCAAGACATATCATTCTCGCGCGAGAATAAATAACATGTTCACAAAATAAACTATTACTCATAAGTAGCAAACTTCCGCAATACAAGGTGAGATATTTCAACAAATTTTTCGCATGACTTCTTTTCGTTTCGTTAGTAAATGTAGACGAGTAGATATTTCACGACAAAAACATGGTTAAAAAAACAAATACAATAAATTCTACGAGGTCCAACAACAGGTTTTATCGATCAATATTATTACTGCTATTTAGGCATACACTATCTAAGAAGCATAAGAGTGCATTATGTGTATGTATTCATACATGCACAGATGTAAACTGTGCTTGTACATATGTATGTAAAAGCAGGTTTATAACTTCCAAATTATACGATCAATAAACCAATAAATAAGATGTACTACATACATATATATAAAGACGCAAGACTGCACAAGTACACAGAGATGCATTTACGAAATCCAATACAATTACAAAAATAGTATGGAACTTTACAAAATCATGTATAGACAGGATATTTCAGTTCACTTTCGGTGACTAGACTTAAGTGTTTGGGTAAATGGAACAAAACGAAATGACCACAGGTCAAAGGTTAACGAAATTTGAAAATGTAGAACTGCTTTTGCTTTGAAGTGCGCATCATTAAAGGGTATTAGAAATTTAGCTAGATTTCCCTTAGTCAATGTAACTGATGACAAAATATTATACATATAAATCGCATTTACATCCCGGGAATTTTGCATTGTATTTTTAAATAAATGATTTTTTCAACCCATCTTAGGAAATTGCCTATCCCATTTCGCCCAATAAAATGAATAGTTTTGAAACGAAAGGTATTGGTTATTGTTTTTTGAAATGTAATATAAAAAGTAATAATTTCTTCAATATTCACATTTTCTCATAACTTTGAAAGTTAGTGATTTACCTAGCACTAACTATATAGTCTGTATGTCCTAACTGATAGATTTAAATTGATCAATTCTATTATATTGTTTCCTAAAGGGTTTACTGACCCGGTTGTATCCTCAGGATGTCTTTAATATGCGACAGATGTTTTCGGTGTAGAAGATAATAACGATTTGTAAAGTTAGCTTACGTCCTTTGTTAGATTTTGAGAATCGAATGGATGATGACGATAATAATCTGCATTATTTTTCTGAGTTAATACAGATCACATAAGTTTCACTACTGTTTTCCTGGATGAAGTTGGTTTTGATGAGACAAATCGATAAATGAAGGAATCTTATGAAAATAAAAACATGTTAAAATTAAGAGCAACCAATTTTCAGTTCATGCTATTGATCTTAGTAGGACTTAGACGTCTAGGCGATAATATTCTAAACACCACATATCAGATTCAAACCCGTTTATTTACACTTAACACTATCTGTGATGTATGCCATTTATGCTGACAGATAAAAGTAGTATGTAGCCACGATCGGAAGTGGAATGCCTGGCAGCAGAAGACTGAGTTGAAGAGAACAGGAAGGAGTTCAGATAGCAATCAAAGTAACAACAGAATTAGAGGAATAGTAGTGTATGTAAAGGACAACGCATAAAAGATGTGCAAATGATGTATTTGTTGTGTGATTTTCATATTTTGCTAACTCACTGTGTAATTTTGCATGAAACAATGAATTAGTTAGTCCCGCCAAGTCTTTGTTCACTACATATTGAAATTCTCATTACTTACACACATATTTCCTATTGTCGGAACAATTAAATACTTGAATCAACAAAACGGAAAAAAAAATTGACTGTGAAGAAATTGATATCACTCTTTATCTCAATGTTGATTAACAACCAGTTGTTTCATATGGCGTCCGAATATAATTGATGGAAAATTTCCATTATATTAAAACACAGATATATGAACAAAGAATACTCTTTTCAGTAATTTCTTTTCAGGTTCGACTATTATATAACCAAATTAACAATTCGTAAAGTCGACCAAGTTTAAGGCATAGTTATAAGTTTAAATGATGTACTTTGCCTCAAATCTCGTCGATTTTATGGATTATTAATTTGGATATATAACTGTAGAACATGAAGAGAAATTACTGAAAAGAATATTCTTCTTTCATATATCTATGTGATAATTGATGTAACTTTTTTTCTAAAGTTACAATTTCACATTGTATGGCTATGAAACAGTCTGATAGATTGTTTTGAAAGAGTAGAATTCTAATGTAAAAGTGCAAATTTTTGAAATCCAATCAAAACAGTTTATACTAAATGGATTTCAACTAATCGAATTACAGCGATGCACCATTTACGAGTAACTAACGAATTATTACTTAAAACAAAAACTGTGTTCTTAATAACATGAGTACACATTTTGAAATACAAGTTAACTAATCACTTATTATTGAATAGGTATAATCATGCCCCTAAATTTTCAACAATAGTGGTCAGGAATCACAGTAATTATGACAATAATGCTAGCTCATAAGTTTTATACGTGTTTATGAGTAAAATTAAACTTCGCGTCAACGGTAATTATGCAAAAAGGAAAACTTGTTGAGTTCTAGTGTACTTCATCAGCACATATTGGTCTGAATAAGAGTTATATATATGTATATGTATATATATATATATATATATATATATATATATATATATGCGCATGTTGAAAGTGGGATTACCAAGTCCACATTAATGGTAATATGCTTCTCAAATGTGGATAGATGCAATCTAGAATCCTTTCGCTGCCAAATGAGAATTTGTTTACAGTGCAAATTAACAAGAGAGTTGAGCGAACATCTTTTGTTATTTTGATGTACAGAATAAAAATGTATGCTATGCAGTAAACATTTTAGGAATTGAACTAAATACACCCCACGTGGGTTCGAATCCCCTCATTCCGAGTATAAGTGATAAACGATTACGACATTACAATCAGCGACGACCAGATACAAAATGTAGCATTTAAAAAACCAAGACAATAAGCATTCAAACAACAAGTTATAACAAAATATGTAACGACGTATTAAAACCTCACATACGGAAATTTACCAACACCAGTCACTTACTTAAGATTTGTCAATAGAACCTTATGCACTTAACTAATGATACAAAGTACCTTAGTAGGGAAGTGTAAAAATTCGAAAAATTAGAAATACTCGAAAAGTCACCAGTGTAAACTCGACCAGAATGACCTGCTATTACAATATACCTTCCGAAAAACAGTATTTTACATAGTGGTGGTCATTATACTACTAAAAGTTATATTTCATACACATGGTTCACCTTAACATTTTGAAAAGAGGGAGAACAAAGATTCTAACAGAATAGCATGAATTCATTTTACTTCGTAGGTTCTCGTCAGCTGCTTACAACCTTGTGATATTTAAAATCATAATTACATAATCGGTTTAAATTACTTTCATGAGAAGGTTTGGTCGATTTTACGACTGGATAAAGGTTCAGGTGTCGTCTTAGTAAATACAGCTGATTATATCACTAAGATGAAGTCAATCCCTGATGATCGGCTGAGATTCAAGGTAGATGAGTCCAAATAAGATTTAACTGATTCAACAGAAAAACGAATCACAAGCATGCTTAGAGAACTTCTATAAAGGAAAATGATTGCTAATTCTACTTACAATGATCCCAGACTATATAGCTCATGTCTACCTCATATGTATGGTTTACCAAAAGTCCAAAACATGGCGCTCCTCTTTGACCTATTCTATTAATGATCAACTCACTGCATCACAAAGTTGGACGGTGGCTAGCAGAAACACTAGAACCAATCCGCCGGAAATTAGCAACACATACGTGAAGAGATTCATTCCAGTTTATTGATAAACTGAATCGTTCGAATGTTGCCGATAAGTTCATGGTTTCTTTTGATGTAATGTCCTTGCTCACCAATATACCACTTTTTGAAACTATTGATATAGTTTGTCAGAATTATGATCTCTTAATTTACCAACCCCAGAATTCAAAAAACTACTACTAATGTGCACAACAGACGTTCAATTCCAGTTTAATAACGCCATATATCGTCAAATCGATGGCTTAGCAATAGGAAGTCCACTAGGTCCAATCATAGCAGATAATTTTATGAGGTATCTTGAAAACACAGTGCTTAAACTGGCGGTTAGCGAAACGACGGAATACTCCAGATATGTTGATGACACATTTATTGTCTGTAACATTTACATCATTGAGTTTTATTTCAACTATCTTCCAAATTAATAATCTAACTTTATCGACTGAACTCTACTCATTTTGTTCCTATCAATGTTTACTCATTATATAATCACTTGTTTCTGGTCCTTTGAACTGTTTTCACAGTCAGGGTGGTAGAATATTCTTTTACATAGGGTATATATATACAACATTCAGTCTATTAAATTTATTTACACCCTTGCTATACTATACTAATATTTCTTCAATATAACTTCCGACCAAACCTTCTCATGAAAGTAATTTAAACCGATTATGTAATTATGATTTTAAATATCACAAGGTTGTAAGCAGCTGACGAGAACCTACGAAGTAAAATGAATTCATGCTATTCTGTTAGAATCTTTGTTCTCCCTCTTTTCAAAATGTTAAGGTGAACCATGTGTATGAAATATAACTTTTAGTAGTATAATGACCACCACTATGTAAAATACTGTTTTTCGGAAGGTATATTGTAATAGCAGGTCATTCTGGTCGAGTTTTCACTAATAGTTAAGTGCTCGCGCGCGTAGCCAGTAGGTCCTGGGTTCGAATCCCACGGAGTGCGGGATCGTGGATGCGCACTGCTGAGGAGCCCCATACTAGGACGAAGCGGCCATCCAGTGCTTCCAGGTTTTTCATAGTGGTCTAGCTTCGACTGACTCATGATTTCAATCTGAGAAATTAAATAAAAGTTCAAGTAAAATAACAAAGGGGACAGAAAGAATAAGAAATCGTCGCGTTATCCCAGGCCATAGGATGACTTAAGGATTATCAAGGTAAATTCAAGGTTACGACAAATTGTTTTTGTACACATAAGGGTGGTTTAAATTTACTAATAGTCAAGGCTTCAATAAACTTAAGAATTCGTCCTTGACAATTTCTATACAACCTTCTAAAAGCTGTATTAATGTCAATTTTGCGCCTCGTTTCAAGTATATGTTTCGCTATCGATGAACCTGGTTTTTTAAATCCCACATTGATCGGATCATCTGACACACATTGATTTTGAAGCCATTTAGGCACATGTTCATTGACCCTTGATTGCATTGTTCGATTTCTCCAGGGTGCGCGTTTCGTCTTATTTGGGACTCATCAACTGGATGTACACTCCGAAACTCGAACCCAATACCGTTCGCTTTAAGGCCATCACGTTGTCCATTTAGCTACCTAGTCCTGATAGCCACCTGCTTGTAGAATAAGGTGACAGGAGGCACATATGCCAACAAGAGACTAACCAATTGCGGTCTTCAACAACAATCGGAAGATACGAGCGAACAATACTACCTGAATTTAACCTTTTAAATTTATGCTAACCATGTTATTAGTCAAAGATTAAATTTTAAAAAGTACTCATATCAGGTTAAACACATTATTTTCATTGTTCAAAAAAGTGCTATTTCTAGCCTCTTTCAATATTTTTCTGTTCATATATGATGTGTATATTGCATAAAACAGTATGACTTTCAGTTGAGAATTTCATTTGAATCATTTAAAACTATCTTTATATATTTTCTATGAACAAATCATTATTGTATGTCTTAATTTTCCAGATAAAGAAACAAATAAGATGAAAGTCAAGGCTTGAAAAGAAATTCCAAATGAAAAAAATTTTTTTCTTTCAATAATTAAGTGGGTGAAAAAAATATATTTAATACTGAACACAATTTTAATATTAATAAAAAGAATCTAATATAAGTGAATAGACATATATTTTATTTACGAAGTTGCGCCAACGTACACCATTGTCTTCAGTAAGTTAATATCTCACAACAGACCTGGTTGAACTCCATTGGTAACGGCTTCTCACTAGAACTCCAGGTGTATCTCTTGAAGTAAGTCACTAATGAGCAGATGATTATTATCATGGATCGTGGATGCGCACTGTTGAGGAGTCCCATACTAGAACGTAACGGCCGTCCAGTGCTCCCAGGTTTTTCATGGCGGTGTAGCTTCAGTTGGCTCATGATCTCAACCATTAAAATTACTATAATATCCACAAAACCCCTTCTGATACTAACGACAGAGTTATTTGTGAATAGTTTTAGAGATGATCTTTCGAATATCAAGTTAAAATATATCATCGATTAGTTTCAGCATTGTAAACAATGAGAGAGATATAAATAATGACATGGAATGATCACACTATATTTTTGGTTGACACTGAAAATGTTAACTAACAAATTCTGACTCAATAATTAGAAAGCCTTGTACTCTATAAAACATGAAATTTCTGATTACGGATAAATGCTGATGAATAATTTTCATATCAGAACAATACAGCCACCTAATACATCATGATTTAAGTGGAACTGTAGCAGGTATCAGTTCATAATGAAAACTAATCTCCAATAAATAATCTAAAGGAACCCCTTAACTTTTATGAAAAAAATAACCTAAACCGGAACCGCTTTAGCGTTATATACGAACGAAGACTAAAATAATGTTAGCTTCCAGGACTATCATCATATACATATTATTGTTGTAACTAGGTTATTATGTTTATATCTTTTTACCATAAGCTTTTGATTACCCATTAATTACTGTTGTGTGATTTACTAGTCTTAATCTGTTGCCAGTCTCTTCTATTTACAACCACATTTTGGCTTGATCATGAACAATTGTTACTGTTATTTTATAGTATGATGTGGTCCGGTCTTTTATGTACATAAAAGAATGTCTGAAATTTAACAACGATCTTGAACTAGTGATCATTGGTCTTATATTCCTCCTCGTTCGAGACTGATTACTATTGGACCAGCCATTAAGTATAAGTATCAGTCTTCTTGTCCATGTTGCGTATTGGTTGCTTCAAGTCAACCATGAGCATTGGTTGTTGTTAGGACATAACACCTAAGTCGAAGTCCAATCATGAATAACCTAATAATCTTTGATAACTATCATAAGTCCATGCATATTACTTATAAGTAAGATGTGCACGAAATGCATAAAAATTCAACTGTTTATTCAAATATTTTACAGTATCTGAATATAAAAAATAATTTCGATTTACTAATAAATATTTTGTTTGATGAAACGACTCTATAACTATAAATCTAGGATTTTTCTGCCTAAACAGACAAAATTCTCCTTCTGATCATAATTTTTGCTGATTTAATTTGAATAACCGACTTTTTAACTGCTGATAAAGCGAAAGACCTATTCTAAATGCAACGATTACTGCTACAACAGATTTTTTATATTGTTCACAAGTGCCTCAGAGGAACAATACTTAGTGATTGACTTTTATTAGTTGATCATGTTTATAAGTTTGACCTTAATAGTTGCACGTTTTTGAAAGTTGAAATAAACAGATCTATAAATTTAGATGGCATTTCAAATATATATATATATATATATATATATATATATATATATATCACTTTCTCACCCATATAGCTTTTCTAGAATAGTTATTGCACGTTCCAGGTGAGGGATATAATCTGGGAATGTCTGTTTACTCTAGAAAGAAAAAAAAAACAAAGAAATAGGTAAGTTTTAGGTAAATTAATAATATTTATGTAATTTTTATTATTTATCTTAATTAATATATTTTTATCAATTGTATTCAAGTAACATAGTAGTTAAGATTGACGATTTATTTGCGTTCAATGTATTAGGAAAATTATTCTTTACAGATATCATTCTACTGACTGTGTAGTGTTAACCAATTAACGGTATATTTTAAAGTTTCATGATTGGATTGAAAAAATATTGTTTAATACCATAAATACTTGTTCGAAACTTCAACTATTCGATGGTACTACGTCTCATCTTTTCAATGAGATTGATTTATAAACAATAATTTCGTTCACTATGTTAAACAATGTTACTGAATTTAAATCTATTATTGGCAGGGAGTCATTCAAATGCAAACCTGAAGAAATAGTTGATAATGCAAACCTTAAATGAAATCGCCATTCGGATTTCGTCACTGTCATTACACAGTATTGAGTTCGCCGATAACTTCAAAATAGTTTGAGTATTCTTGATGCTGTTCATTTAAACAGTAAAATTCCACTCATGTTGAATGAAGAATAATGAGTCAGTTTGTGCAAAACGACACCTTCAGTTTTTAAATTTATCCAGATCAATGAAAAAACCAAGACACTATAATTTAATAAACTCCATAGAGTGCAAACATACAACTTATTGTAATGTTATAACTCTTGCAAAAAAGATTGTATAAGTCTGATGTTTTTAAAAAATGAAGATAAAAAATACATTCATGCCAAAACCAAAATGTATTCATCTAACTGCTATCTACTTATTTATAATACAACAATAAGCTGAATTGTTTAACTACTATTATGAAATAGTTAAGTATTAATTTTAAATAGCTGATTTACATGGAATTTGACTATTTTTCTCTAAACGAGTTTTGAATAACCTGACATTAATTGCTGTAATGTAGTTTACAAATCAGTTCATACATTTCAATGTAGTCATTGAATTTTTTTACTATAATGTTTTACGTACAAGAATTACAAACCCTGAATTCAACGTCAATACAAATCTATCATTGAAGTTAACTTGGTATGCCCATCTAAAAACATATACACTTAAGCGAAGATAGATAGTGGTTAGCAGTGAAATTCAGAACGTCTCGTTCTATTTGGGACTCGTCTGGTGGACGTACGGACATCCCTAAATTGATGTTTACTCATAATCATTTAATGTTGACACCAATAATTTCAAAGAAAGACTAGCATTATAGTATAGTTTCGTTAAATCAACCTTAATAAAAAGAAATATTCACATTCCCAACAGTAAAAGATACTACTTAATGTAACCCTATCGTGACTACTACTGTTATTATAAGTAATACTGAATTAATCAGTGATATTAATGCTAAACAACTATGTATTAATTTAATTATCTTAATCAATTCTGATGATTCGCAAAATAACCACTATAATGCTTTATAAGTTGATCATATAAACGTTTACAAAAAGCACTGTTTAAACAATGTCACCGTTTGTTAACAAACAATACCCGTGTATCGTTGTACATAGCAGGAAAAAGAAAATAATTATTGACAAAGTAAATAATCCATATAAACTAAACAAAAAAGGGAACTAAAATAGATTTAGTGCATTTAGTCTTTACTGAAACTTTTTCAATGTTAAAAACGTTATTCTACTCATTGTCAAAGATTTAAAGATAAAATGAAATACATGGAGAACACGTTAATGAATATGATTCAATGAAATTAATTTGGTTATAATTATTACCAGTAATTTGTCAATAATAATATGGAATAAAAAAATTGAGATAGTTTATAAGATTCTGCAATTTAGTTTGTTTGTTTGTATTTGTTAACATGAATAATAGTTAAGATCAGAACTATTGTTAGAATTGTATAGTGAATAAATAATTTCCGTAAAAGTAGGCATTTAGTAAGTAAAGAAATGAAATATAAAAATACTTCACTTTCATTAAGCTTTTTATCATGCTTCTACACTTGTATATATTTTCGGGATTATTAATTTTATGTCAAGAGTCAATAGTATTTCAGTAAAAGTGAACTTATTAACAGTAATGCAGAGTATCGAATTATTTGCATTTTAGAAAGATGAAAACAAATAATAGGTTATTACTAAGTTCAGTGATTTTATTTGTCGAATAAGTTGACACAGGTTGTTATAAAATCGGTACATCAAATGGTAAATAATTAGGGATTTGGAGAATTTTATTATATGTTCGCGTGATATTCACTTAACTTTACAGTTAATGCCTCTCAATAATTAGAAATAAGAACAAACTATTTGAATGAGTCTCTTTTATGTTTATCTACTCATTTGGATGCTCATATATTGCTATGTTCACTAGTCAAACAAGATTGTCGTCAAATTTCTTAGAAATATATTACACCCCATTGCACAAACTAGCGGATATCAGGACTCATTAGCTAAGTGGATAATGTGATGGCTTTGAAGCGAACGGTATTAGGTTCGAGTTTCGGGGTGAACATCAACTCTGAGTTGCAGGTATATCTAGTTGACGAGTCCCATTTAGGACGAAACGCGCGTCCTGAATTCCACTGCCAGCTACCATTCATCTTTACCTATAATGCTTATGACTGAAGGCAGTATCGAGGTAATCTGCACAGGATGCAGATATGCCAATGAGATAGTGATAAATTGCAGTCCAAAAATACCAACAGGAAGATTCAAGCAACCAGTACAAAAATGAATATATTACATAGTTTGACAAAAGGTGATTAACAGAAATTATTAGTTTTAAAATTCTTTATCAATGGGTGCTCGACATTAAGTTTACATGAATAGAGTTTTTCAAACAACATCTAGAGTACCGCGTAGCTTACCGAATGATTAATTTATTTATCTACTAAATACGGGTAAAGTCAATATAATCAAACAAAATCTCGATGTTCAAAAAACATGTACAACCACTCTCATCACCTAAATCGGTAAACTAGCTTGTACTTATAACTAATGCTAAGTTGAACAAATCACAGGGATTCAGGAGAGACTTTTTATTCTCCTAATTTTCAGAATCTCACTAGACTTCTAGCAATATTTGTCACTACAATGGTACTGATCTTATTATCAAATTTGAAACATTTATATCAGTATGATTTTAAAAAAGTATTTCTTCTTTCAGTTCGTTTATTCAATAATTAATTGGTGTCTTTTCAGAATGTAGTCTGAAAGTGGCTAGCAATGAAATCCATGGTGAGTTTATTCTTATTTACAAATTACTATGTGGATGACTCATTATTTGAGTGTTGACGTTCCCAATACGTTTTGAATCTAGTATCTACTGCTTCGAACAAGTATTTTGGATCCATCAGAAATATAATCAAAATGTAATAGCATGCAAGTCCATGACATTTGATCGAGACAAACTCATATATAAAGGGCTTGATCGGTTTACCCTTGAATATCAATGAGACGAAAACTGAAAATATTTTAGCTATTTATTTATGTATGTTATTGTTTCCTTCTTTTAGATTGGTTGTATCCTACTCAAAGGGTTTGGTATTACAATAAATAAAATGGCAAAGAACTCTAGAACACATGTCGCTCTACCTGAAACAACGAAGTATGAGTTTCTTGTAGATGATAGAGTTTAGGGTTTTCAGTAGGCTACCTTAAAATATGATTCAGAACTAAATACACTCCTTTGTGACAGTGAACTATTTTGCAAATTTGTTGACATGAATAAATGTTTAATGATACTTCGGCTTATGATATCCGGAAACTGAATATTTCGGAAAAATCCAATTATTTTTTGTATGGATATCAGTTGGACAGTCTGCGAAGAAAGGGAGTTTTTGTACAACACATTTTGGTCTTTCAAATTTCTTGTGGTAAACACGTTTGATTAAATTTAGAATTTCCAAATATTTTATAAGCTATATTTTAGCCTAATTGTTTGTTAACTCTAACCGACGCTATATAATTTACTATTTCAGTACACAATATGCCTAGAATGCAGTGGATTCTGGCTGCTAGAGACATATAAGAAGTTTTAAAATTCAAGGTTGTATGAATGGTTTTTGACAGTGACTCAGAAACCCAGGTGAATTAATAGAGACTATAATTGTGTGCTTTGAACCAAATTATCGGTCTTCACAAATTAGTTACCCGACTTATTTATACATGTACGGATTTACAGACATAAAGTACATTATTGTACACAAGTAGTTTTCCAAGTTAGTTAACTTGAAAACAATCAGTGAGGAAAGCAAGTCATCGACTTATTTCAGACCCAAAAGTGTGTGCAGACAATTTTACTGTCTTTGGCAAATTTATATTCATTCGAATTTTTTAAATTTGCACTGTAGGAAGTCAAATTCATTTGACACTAACTTTTAAAATAAAGTTTCTGCTCTTCGTTTCATAAAATTAGCATATTTGGATACTTTTTCTTCAAGTCATGGAGGTCATGAAGAGAGTTCTATTTTCTGAAAGCTTAATACTTTTTTAAATATAGTTTTCTTCACGAACTGGTGCTACATCAAGTGCAGGCTGGAAACTGATTTGGACAAGTAGTTCATTCAGTATTAAAGGTTTTCAACAGTACAAACTAATTACTATATACTATTTATTATCCTTTTATTACAAAATCATTTATTTAAGTTAAAATAGAGCAAGAACAACAAGGTCTGACGGATAAAATGAACTCAGCACATTTAACGACTTTTCATTAGCTACATACAACCTAAAATTACAATGATCAGTATAATTGTTAATAAATATTGAACATACTTTAGTTTGTAAAGTTTGAACAAAGTAAGAAAAAGAGAATTCAGCGAAGAAAATTTTCTTTTCGACGAAATCATTTACTTAAGCTGTACTTTCGTATGCATAGTTATATGGAATGTACAGCTTAAGTAAATGATTTCGCCGAAGAGAAAATTTTCTTCGCTGAATTCTCTTTTTCTTATTCAATGACACTATGGGTTATTTTAATTATTTGAACAAAGTGCTTGAAACGTAACCAAAATCATATCTAAATTCTGCAAATTAAGGTATGTTCATCATTTGTCAATGATTATGCTAACAATTATAATTCTAGGTTGTATATTATTCTGCGAACATTGTTTTTCGTGCTCTGTTTAGATTTATCAAAGGATTTAGTTGTTTGAAGTTTATGTATATTTTTCATGACAAAATTATCAACGTTCTAACATGACCAGAATTAAGATTGTTTCAAAATCTAAAACATCTTTCCTCTGTAGATGACAATGTTAATTACTAATCAATTTTTAGGACACTAGTGTATTTATTTATTTACTTACTTGCTCCTATTACCTTCGTGGAGGAGCATAGATCACCCACCATCATTCTCCATCTAACTCTGATCTGAGCAATCCTTTTCAGTTGCTATTTATCCTTTTATATCTGCTTACGATTCCCGGCGTGGTGTGTTCTTAGGCCTTCCTTTTTTCGTTCCCATTCAGGATGCAGTTTGATGATTTCCGCAGTGTAAGTCCTATTTACTTTAAGCGTCTTTTCCTAATTTCCTCTTTAGCTGGAAGCTGGTTTGTTCTCTCCCACAATAAACTATTGCAGCTGGTATCTCGCCAACGGACATTTAGTATCTCTCATGGATAACTGTTGATAAATACTGATACCTTTTTGACAATGATTGTAGTAGTTCTCCGTACAGTAGAACTGTCTTGACGTAAGTATTGAAGATTCTGACTTTGATATTGGTTGGCAGTTGTTTTGAGTTCCATATGTTCCTTTGCCAATCCTCACCTTTACATCTGCATGCGATCCTCCTTGTTCATCGATGATGTTTCCGAGGCACATGAAACTTTACACCCCTTCCAGAGTTTCTCCATCAAGTGTGGTTCGGTTGATATTCTCCGTGTTGTATTTGGCGATCTTGGTTTTTCCTTGTGTATGCTGAGGCCTATTGATACAGAGGCTTCTACTACACTGGTCGTCTTCATCTGCATTTATTTGTGTGTATGGGACAGAAGGGCCAGGTAATCTGCAAAGTTCAAATCGTCTAACTGCATCCAAACTGTCCATTTTATTCCACGCTTCCCCTCAAATGTAGAGTTCTTCACAGTCCAGTCAACCACTAGAAGAAAGAGGAGGGGGGAAAGCAAGCAGTCTTGTCTGACTCCAGTTCTCATTTGGAATGAATCTATCAGCTGTCTTCCATGCACGACTTTCAATTGTAGTCCGTCGTATGAATTCCGGAAGACATTGACGATTTTCTCAGGTACACCATAATGTTTAAGAAAGTCCCATAAGGTCCTCTTAACCACTCTGTCAAACACTTCTCACAGTCAAGGAAGTTGATGTATAGCTGACAAAAAACACTTGAGGATCACTAGTGAAACTTAATAGTACATGATTATATATATATATATATACTCGCATTTATTTTTTATTTTGATATACTACTTACACATGCCACTTTTTGACTTGCTAGGTACTTGCATAAATTATACAAATTTTCATGATCAGTAAATATTTCCAATACATCATTGATTTCCTTGGCATTTGCCTAGGAGGAGAATAAAAATAAATAATCAGATATGAATATACTTATCAATAATATGTCTGTGTTTATAAATATGGAATCATATACATATGTGAAAACTTTGAAAGAATTATTGCTGCAGCCATATGTGAACCATATTTTTAAAAAAATATCAGCGACTGAAATTAAATATTCCTAATGTTTTGTCCAGTAGGTTGATTTAGGTTTTATCAAGAAACTTTTTCCACATAAAGTCAGACCGGAATATGATTTGAAGTTATAGCCGAAAGATGACTTGTTCACAATACTCGTACACGAATAAATAACATTATTAGTTCGAACAACTGTTTTTTTTTCAAAATTTAACATAAAACAGTAAATTCTAGCAGAAAAGTATGATATAACGACATATTGACTAATCATTTACCTGTTTCAGTAATACATTCACCCAACGTTTGAACACTCTGACTTGGGTTTGAAGACATCTGTTATCTGTAGAAATGTAGGTTGAAAGATAAAAATGTTAAAGTTTATTACATAAGTCAGAAAAAACAATTCACTATATATATATGGTTAATTTATGAAGTGACTATTCGTTGATTATTTTCAGTCCGGAAGTAAATTTAGTTAAAAACTGACTTCAGAAATCTTCCTAATCGAAAAATCTAGTAACTGTATGATGATTTGGATGTTAAACGTTTAAAATCACAAATTAGCTAGTGTTAAACATTGAACCATTAAATTTCTACCTAAGGTCTTAAAGGTATCTTGTTAGCTATACATGTTACAGATCATCAGTTCGATCTCTTAATGATTAATCCAAAATATCTAATCGTTTAAATTAAAATATTTGTTCAATCCTCCATAATGATCAATTCAATTGTATAACCTTAATGTTGGTTCATTATGAAAATGATCTTTCTGCTAACTTCATGAATTTAGAGAAAATTGAAGAAAAAAAACAATATGATTTCAGTCAACCATTAAAAATGATACAAGATACAAAAATCCAGTAAGTAAATGAAAAGTCTTAGTGATATAATAAACTAGTTTCATACATATAGTTTGTTGTTTTTCTCTATGTAGGAAAAATATAGATTACATAACAGGTGGTTTATAATTGTAATGACATGTGGTTGAACATTTTCAACCTTATAATTATAATTACATAAGGTTATAAAATAAGTAACCGTTTTATTTTTGTCTCAAAGTAAGAATTACTATGTAGCAATAATATTAAATTACTTCCATGTTTTATAGTATTTGATTGAACTTGTTAAGTAATTAGTACTAATTGTTAAATATTTTTTTTAAAAAAAACCCCGCACTTGTCTAATCATAAATTTTAAGAAATTTGTAATGAAAATAAATTTATTCTGTCATATAAGAAACAATTTGGAAATGTAAAATATGATCATTTCACTTGTCAGTAAGTTTATTAACATAGAGATAATTTTATGTTCAAATCATTCATCTAAACACTTTACACCTTCATTAAAATACTAAAATAAAAATTTTATGATGAATCGGAATTGATCAAAAAGAACAATATAATCTAGTTTATTATCTTTGAAAAGTTAAATATATCTACATCTATAAAATAGGATTGAAATTTTTGACAAACATTCATTCTATTACAATCAATGAATACATTACAAACTTGAATAACACATTTGATGAATTTACAATTGTTGAAAAAATCAAAGTCCTTAACATTTCAAACTTCCTTTAATAAACAGTTACTAACTTACAAGCTAGTAGTAAATTTTTATTTTTGAAGAGTTCCCGTAGAGTGAATTTCATATAAATTTCTTTTTTAAGAGTATTCACAAAGTCAAGTAAATTGATTCGAAAGTAATGGGGATTCAAACCATTATTATTATTATTATCATCGAGTAGATAATAGCATTTCACTTATTCAAGTTATAACCTAGTATGGTATATTTTGTTTTTACAATGACTTTAGATTTTATTGTGTTTCCTTTACTCCATCATTAAATGACTATCCCATTTATTCTAAGTCTGAAAGTATTACTGTTTCCATGTATGAAGCAGCCGGTGACTTGCTGGAATCATAATGTAAAAAAAATCCACCTTAGAATGCTCAAGCAATTAACTAATGCAATATGCAATCTTCTATTCTACTGCTAGCTAACCACGATGAAATATCCTCTGAATTCTCTATACTGACCAGTATGGCAAAAATATTGTTAGTACCTTTCCATATATGCATTTAAACACAGCCAATGATGTGACAGGAACATTTGGTTGGCTCAAACCAACTAAATATAATTAATTGACAAACACAAACTCGTATATCAATAATATAATCAACTATTCTGAATTTATTAATGAAACGTTTTGATTCTGTTAACATTAATTCCGACTGAATAATATTTTACCTATTGAACTATGAATTCATCAATAACTCTCTTGAATACTACTTATGATAAATTAAAAGTTATGAAATGTATCGTCGAAACAACATAAGTTAATGTAGTGCATTTACTTGCCTAGTATGAATAATTGAATTTCAGATATTATTTGTATCGATCCTGACAGTTTAATATTCAAAAACTTCACTATAGAAATCACTAATTACATCAGTTTGAGAAAAAATAGAATCAATTAAATGGTTGAAGATTAAACTGTTTTTCAAACTTTGCTTATTCAACTTAATGTTGATTTCCTCAACAGCATAGTCATTATCAATGATCTATAGTTGATGACTACAGTTTTCTGGACAATTTGGATAAAGTCACAATAAGTGTGATAATGATCTGATATCAACTGGAAAATAAATCACGGAGTAGTTGGACAGTTATTTTGTTCTAAATAAGGACTTATTATTATTATTATTATTATTATATATATATATATGTTTCAAAAAATATTTCTAAGAACTCCATGAAAAACTGCTTTTTTAAATTCCAATAAATATCTGTCAGTTGCTAAAAATTGTAAATAAAAATAACCCTGCAGAGAAAAATACACCTATCATCATACTAACCTTTGCACAGTAATAATAAAGAAATCAGTGATGCGCAAGTCACGTAAACGAATGACAATTTAATTAGAACTACATTTTAAAATGTCCCATAAACTAGGTTACAAAGTAAGAATAATAATAAGATGAACGGAGGGAGTAAAATTTGACTAAAAGAAAATTACTTTCACGATGTAAATGTCAGGCGTTTTCTTTATTTTACGATTGAACAATCTATGGAAAATAATAATGAATAGGTTATGGAGTAATGTTCAGTTGTTGAAAAGGCTGAAGTTCCAAAAAGGTTATCGGATAATATTCATAAATATATGTTGGTTTATTGCAAAGTGCTGTGAAAAATACTACTTCAAAATTCTATCAATACCTACGCATATATCATAGTTTGCATCATAATATTACGGTTAATTCTAGAATAAAATTGATTGTATCTGTAATTCACAACTATTGTTGTTTATTAGGAGTTTACGTATGAAATATATTAAGATAATCACCCGGTCATCGTTCGAATTATGGTGACAATTTAAATGATAATATACATAATATATTATACATCACTCAACTTAGATCTTACCATAAATGGTGAAGTGTTATCTAGGTTACATACAGTAGTAGACTTAGGACTTAGGTACTCCCACGACTGGTCGTTTACAGAACAGATATTGAAACAGACCTCTAAGTCTCAGTGTCTTGCAGGTTACATAAATCGAAACCTTTATAACAATGAGTCACGTATTCTAATGTACAAAGTTTGTGCTCGACCTCTTCTAGAATATTGCACGTTTATTCTTAGCAGTGAGCTCATAAAGGATAAATTAAGGCTGGAATCAGTACAGAGACGATTTACACTTCGTATTCTTGGAGCTGATTGTACCTTAACTTATAATTCTAGATGTAATAAACTTGAGCTGGACCCTTTATGGAGGAGGAGACTCAAACTAAATCTTATCTTTTTCTTCAAACTACTTCATAAACTATCGTTTACATCCGATCACGCGATTCAATATGCAGAAACCTTTCATTATGACATCCGTAATTCCTCGGCACTAGTGAAACAGACTCATTCAAAATCATCTCTTTATATGAATTACTTCACCTGTAAATTTTCTAGACTATGGAATAACCTACCACTATCTATCCGTACGATAAAATCACTCCATTATTTGTTCGCTGCATCGATGCATACTGCTCCTCTGAAAATGCATTGAATGGTCTAGCACCTGCAGGTGTATCTCATTTCACAAGTGATATTTTAGGAACTTTAAATGTTTAGCCATCTTTATTAGTGAATCCCCTAAGTAAAAGCACCCACTTGCTGTCAATATGTTAACACCGTCCCTAGCAAGTTTAACTAATTTGAATAACATAAACAGTATATCACTGTGTCACATGACACACGCATTTAAGTAGACCTGATTCAGATATTTTGGTAATTACTGCTTTGTTGTTCCTTGCTCTTTGTTTTCGTTTTAGTTTCTCGAGTTGTAGATAATTATCATGATTTCGATCTGACACACGAAATGACCTTAATTACACCGTTCATAAATCAACAGGTTGTCCATTTAAGAAGAATTAATAGTTCCCGGCTGATGCACTGGATCTCTGTAATACATGTACTACCTAAACACTCACTGAACTAGTACACTTAAAAATTTCTCCTATCACATGTTTGCTCTCTACATCTAATGTTACTGTTTATATCAAATTGATCATGCCTGTAAACTGGCGTGAATTCTGTAATCATTATTTTCAGAATATATAAATTGTAAATTATGATAGCTCTAGATATATCCCTTTGGGTTAACTAATTAAATTGTAATCGACATCGAATATACAGGGTTCAGAACCGTATTGGACAGTGAGAGTACACTTAAGATGTTTAAAACTAAAATGAAATAATTGGTTAATTCAAAACGTACCTCAGTAGTTTTTACTTGTAGCTCCGCCTGGAGTCCCTCCGGGGCTACTGCCGGTCCCAAGCCCGGATAAAGGAGGAGGGTTGGGCATGGGGTTAGCGTCCCCATCCCGTAGAAAACTAACTCGCTAAAAAAACGCTAACCAGAAAAAATTATTCAAACCTTTTAAACTCTGCCCTGGGAGTCAGAAGGTCTTCATTTAGAAGAATTATGACGCCTCATGATGAAAGCCGAATTCCTTCGGAAGTTACGAGGCCGATGCCCCTTCTGACAACCAGAGCGACCATTTATTTAGGTACATGGAATGTTCGTACAATGTGGGACACCGGGAGAGCCTTCCAAATTGCTGCAGAAATGAGAAGATACAACCTAGAGGTACTTGGGATCAGTGAAACACATTGGACACAAGTTGGACAACAACGACTAACTACAGGAGAGCTCCTGTTATACTCCGGCCATGAAGATGAAAATGCACCACATACACAAGGAGTTGCATTGATGCTGTCCAAACAAGCGCAAAATGCACTTATAGGATGGGAATCTCATGGACCAAGGATCATCAAAGCCTCCTT